TTAGGTAATCTTACTGTATAAACCGAGCGCACTTACTTCTGGCTAATTTAATTAATTAATCCTTACTCGGTAATCTTACTGATCGCGCGCCATCTCGATTGCTGGAAACGAGCTCAAAGTCACCGCTATAAAATTAACAAATTGTAATATATAATCAAAACTATGGAGATACAACCGGCACGTGATACGCGCATTGAGGTGAGTTTCCGGCCGGAAGTTGTACGCGCGTCCATTCTTACACCCATTCTCTTGCACTCGTCTTTCGCTTTCGGCCACTCTCACGCACTATTTCTTCCCCTTTCCCGTTTACTCGCGCACTTAAATGAAAACCTGTTTCTCTCGGCCGTTCGGACGACGATCTTTCTAGCGCCTATAGGGATGATAATTCGTGTGCTGGGTCAAGGAGAACCGTTGGGGACCAGGGGCTGCGTCTCCGTTGGGAATGAAGGTCGGACTTCCGGTTTCGACGTTTTTGAATTTGGGGATCGGGATGACGTCTGTGGAGAGGGAAAAAAAGGCAAGGAAGATCGTTAGAGCTCGTTTCATCTCTGGAAACGCACGTTTCTCCCTCGAGTGCCACTCCTCTGGAGGAAACTCTCGAGCGAGTTTCGTGCAACGGTATCGAGGACAGTACGAGATGACAGAAAAGGAATTAAGAGAGGAGAGAGAAAGTGTTGGATAGAGGGTTCGAGAGTTTTTCTCTTCGAGGATGGTCTTTATACTTCAAGTGGTTGAGCGCGATCTCATGAAGCCTCCTATTATTTAACCCTTTAACCGAGTTTCTCTTTTCTCATAACACATTAATGCTATAATTATATATACTACGTTCATTGTAGCCTAATAATCTAAGTCTTATCTAAAATTATCGTATATGATAATATGATACGAATTCAAAAGCACCGTACATTATAATATACACAAATCGTCTCTATATCAAATAGCTTATAAATTAGAAATCGTATTATCTAAAAATTTGTCCTGAGTTTATTTAATTGAAAATTATATATGTATTTCCGTGCCATTTTTTTTTGTATATCGATGCACTTTTGGATGAACTTTTCATCATCTACGTATATATATCTATATCTACATATGTATAAGTTACATCTACATACTAATATATATGAAACTATGTTACGATAATTTAACGTATGAAAGTTATACGCATATTAAAATTACGGACGCCAGAGAAATATTTTATCTGCCTGCCCGGTTAATGGGTTAAGTGTACTTAGAGATTAAGCTTCGATTCATGAACATGTCAACACTAATGATTCAAACGATGCAAATCACTATTTACGAAATCGTGAAACTAGAAAAAAAAGACTTTAAAAGCTCTTGAAAATAAAAATCTGTACTTCATTTGCACTTCAATCATTTTTAAATAAATGTACGAAAGTGCTGACATGTGTCTAGTACCAGGCCAACTCGAAACTGAGACTATCCCGTTGCAATGCAAAAGAATTCGTTATAGGAAAGCAGAAGTTATTTTTTTCCAGTGCAACAGCTCTCGATATGGTAATTATTATTACAGGACGACGCGCCTCAGATTCGAGAGAACATGGCGGGATATGTATGTTGGGACGCGCATAAAACACTGCACTAATTAAAAAGCCTGTCTCCACCTTTTCCGATACCGTTCCTGAATGTCTGCGGCAATGAAAATCCAAAGAATTCCGTTCGATAAATATTTTTTAATAGTGGACCACCTCTGTAATTTCGTTCTCATTAATGACAGCGACACCGTGCATACGAAACTTGACGCGGCACCGGATTCGAATCATTTCTTTCCGCGCAAAACAAGCACGCGCGTCAAAAATTCTTGTCCCGCGTATAAAACACAATATATATCCATCCAGATACAATGAAATGTTATTTGATATACGACGTTGATGTAAGCCGCATTTCGATTGGGCGCGCATGATCGCGTATGCACGGTACGCAAAATCGCAATACGTGAGGTAATTGCAAAACAGAAGCGGTAAAAAGAAAGTAGAAGGTCATCTGGGAAACGCATACCGGTGTCGATGGCACTGATCCGAGGGATCGAAGGAGGAATCGATCGACGGACAGGTGCGCCATCGCAATTTAAGTATACTAAGAAAAAAAACACATGTGATCTCTCTTCTCTCGCGCACTCGCATGCTCGCACTGTCATTCATACCATGTACATTATGTACAAATTATATATATATATTAAATTTTATATATATATATAAATTGTTCTTTATAAAAGAATTCTTTAAAATGAGATATTCAAACTGATCACTGGCACTCAAATACAGCATTACGCGATAACAGTTATAATATATATTATAAATATACTAGTACAATCGTCACTAGGAATAAAAATTTATGCTGTGCAGTGTTTTAAGTCTCTCAACCACATGAAATAGTTACACATAACTACTTAAGGTGCGAACTAATTTTAAGTGAAGGGATCGAGATTAGTTCGATTGACAAGATGGAAACTTTTTTTTTTCATCAATATCATTTTCTATTTAATCATAATTTCTCATAATCTATACCAGTGTATTTTTACGAATAATGATCCATTTTTTCTCTATATTATATCATCATATAGTAATCAGCATATCAACTTATCATCATTATATATATATTTATATATGTGTATATAGATTTATGTATATATAATATTATATATGTCTCATTACGATCGTTATTAATATTATTAATATATCTTAAGTATCAATTAATCAATTAATCCACTAGAAACACCGTTAAGCATATTAATATATATATTTTATATATATATGTGTATGTGTGTTCAATGAATAATAATAATAATAATAATAATAGTAAGAATAATCATAGTAATAATAATAGTATAAGTAGTAATTGTAATAGTAATAATAATGGTAGTAGTAATAATAGTAGCAATATAGTACAGTAACTATCATAATAGTACTGTTATTTTATATGTCGTCGAGAGTGGGGGGAGGGAGTAAGAGCGTACGGTGTATGACGTACTCGTATGAGCTAAATAACTTGACAAAAGCAACGTATGTACGCGTGTGCGTGCGCGTGTGTGTATGTGTATATATGTGTGTGTGTATGAGTTCGTACATGCTTATCGACAAAAATTAAATGGTAAAGCAATTACTCGTAAATTGTTACATACGTCTCGCTTGTTTATACAATCTATATATGATCGACTGCACCAAGAAATACATTTTGCAAAGCAAGCATACAGTTCTTGCATTTGATGCAATCAATTACATAAATGTGTGAATAAGTTAAAATATATTAAACAATTCACGAGCAAGTTATTTGACCCTTAACGTTTGTCGGCAAGCGTATATGTGTCAAAAAGCAAAAAGGAACAACGAGAGAAGAAATCAGCGGTATGAGTCGATCTCTTCTATTTGGACTATCCTATCTTTACCGTTACACGCCAGATTGATTGATACCCTTCCTTCGAAGGCACGTCAAGGATTCTTTCGAAAAACAAAAAAAAATGAACGGACACGTTTTTCTAATACACATCTTTTTCTCGGACAATTATATGTATTCCTATCTTTGATTCATCCTCTTTCGCCTACCGCCTGCCTATCTATCAACCTTTCCTCATCAATCCTTCTACCTCTTGAATCTGATCTATGCCAGTCATCTGTTGGATTTCCTTCCAAAGTGCCTGTCTCATACTGATTTCGACATCCAACTTCTGAACATCCCTCTTCGTCGCTTCAAACTTCTGCTCACGTCTGAGATTTATATCGGGGTGTGATTCACTTAATAAATTTGCTCCCGATATTTCCTCTCATATATTCATATCTAGTTTCAGATTCGTGCTGTACGTAACGTCACCGTCGTATCGACGTCATAGGTTTTTCTATGAATTTCAAATAAAGCAATTCACACTAATCGTTATAAAACCAAATCGCTGACATTTAACGTTAATCATTCTCAGAAATATTTAATGGGTCAGAACATGACAATTTTTATTCCATGTAGCGTATAAAAAAGCATTTTAATATAAAAAAACAGCATGCAAATCGTTTTTACTATATAAAGATCACAAACTTTTCTGATAGTCTCTTAATACAGATACAATTTTTTAGATTTATTTCATTAAAAAAAATTTTATGTTAGAAGCAAGATGGATTTTTTATATCTCATGGAAAATACATGCAATGCTGTTGAAAGCACATTGAAACAGTTAGCAATTTAGCACATTGGCTTGCAGTAATTGTTTAAGAATCAATCATTTGAACATTTCATCAATTATGTAATAAAGTCACTTTATTTAAAAAAATATTATATTCAGGATTCGTGCGTTTCGTGTTCTATAGCAATATAAGAAACGTGAAACTAATTTAAAAAATCGTTTTAAATCAGCTAAAGTTGATGAAAAGAGTTCACGATTTCTCTATATTCTCAAGTCTACTAATAAACTTAAAATAATTAAATGAAAATATATTCCAATGTGTGACTGTCATATAATAAAATTATATAAAAAATAGAGTATCAAGCTTGTTATTACGTGTTTGTTGCTACATATTGACTCAATGGAAATATTTAAAGTTTGTGCTAATATGTAGTTTCCATCGAGCAGATGAAGTTGTCAAGAACAGATGTGCAGTAAATTGAGAAATGATCGTCCGGTATTAAATAACTCTACAAGTTTGGCGATATACGGTTTGACGTTACGTACATAATTTATAACGCAACTTAATTAAACTTCGGCACGTGCATTCGTTAATCTCGAAGGAACGCCACGACCGAGACTTCGGTCACGGCACACCCACGCAGACTACGAGGTCAATTGCAGAGCCCCTGGCATTCGCGTGAAACAAACGCAGAAATTCACCTCACGTCAATTCGCGTTCAATCTGATACGTGTACCGAAAACACCGTTCTCGTGCCTCCCTCTCATTTGTCGTTCGCCTACAATCTCCCGTGGTCTCTTCCCCCACCCATCGTGTCGGAGATAACATCGCTAAAAATAGATAACGATCGTTAATTATTTTTTTAACTACTTTCGTAATTTTCACTCGTCGATTCGTCACTGTCTCCGATCCCCCCGTTCCCTCGCTCCCGCCGTGCTCTTCATTTCGCACGCCAGAACACCAAATACACGTCCCCGACGAGTTCTATTTGACGATCGTTTCTTGTCGCATTTTGATAATTTATAACATTACGCACGTGCCCTATGAACCTACAGATAAACGCTCCGTCGACATAAGGATATACGTCGCGAAAAGAAAAACGGAGACACAAAGACACGATCGCAAGAGAAATGCGACGACCGAGAGTCTCCTTCCGTTTGATTTTGTCATCACGATTTCCTCTTTCTCTCTTCACTTCTCCCTCCCGTTCTCTCTTATCTTTTTTTTGCACGCGGGTTCAGGGGATGATCCCCCTTTCCGGATAAACGGCAGGTTCGAGGGGCTTCGATTTGGAAATATTGCGCCGGCACTCTTCATCACATCTTCGTTTTTTTTTTTTAATAAACACTAACGGTTTTTAGCTATGTTTTTTTTTTCCTTTAATGCAAGTACTCCCTACATGCTATACGTAGTGCAGCTTAATAAACTTTACTCTGTTTCGCATGGTTTTTTACTTAGTAAGATTTGGCAAACCTTAAACCTGATTCTCGACGCGCGATGGTCGCGCGCCAACTTGTACCCCGTACGATCTATGCTCCTGTATTACTAAAATGTATATTCTGTGAACATTTCTCTAAATGTGTGTATATATGTGTGTCTGTCATTTAGTTGTTAATATCGGATATTTACGCCTATATGCTCACTCGTCGTCTCCTAATCGTCTCACAATCACACAATCCTTTCGCTCGTTTTTCCCCTTTCACACGATCCTCTTATACCGTCTTCCCAATCGGAGAATAGAATCCATTCGCCTTTTTTTCAAAATCTCTCGTCTTACGTTTCTTCTACTTATTCTCACGACTTTTTAAAATCGCAAATAATATTGACATCGTAGGGATCAAGTTTGCACACAACGTAGAGGCTTAACTTGTCAATTCTCAATTCTTTTTACTCCGAAAAGTTTACTCAATTTTACCAAAAGTACTAAAATAATATCAATAAATTTCAATAATCGATTCGACCTATTAAGTAAATTTTTTTAATGAACCCCTTTATGTATGTATGAGATAAAAAAAACACGAATGTATTCGATTCCTCCTTTAATCCGTCATTACCAGTAGCTCGATCATCGCTCGATCAATTCATGCAATTTCGTCAATCACTCGATATTCATTCTCTCACTTCGTGCGCACGTCCATTCGCTTCAGTCACGTACGTCTCGTCCTGCCAGTGATTTATCATATCCCATTTTACTTTCTCCCACCGTCTTCCTTTCTAACAAAAGAATTAAATTACAACGACTTATATAATCAACGACTTAGATACGCTTTCCTTTTCTTTTTACTTAAGAATTACGGAATAATTATGATTCTCACGAGAACACAATAGTTGGCATTTGTGGTTTCATTAAAAATATTTCACTTTCCCTATTTTAATACTTGTCTACAACGGCCTTATTTCGAGAGTTACGAGTTTAATTAATTAATTAGACAATAATCGATACCCTTAATTATTGATCCTATGTGCCGTATCCTCCTTTGTCCCCGCCCGTCGAAAGAAGCGGGGGGGTCTTCTATATATATGTGTTTATGATAATTAAAACGAGTCAAGTAAGTTTCATTAATTACTCTTTCTTTTTCCTCTCTGCGTTAAGGTACTCTGAGATAATTGTTAATTTATAATACATTTGTACACAACTTATCTCTTAATCAATAATTATATCGATTTAATTATACCGCTACAACGTCGTGCCCAAGTTTTTTTCACATTCATGCGTCTTTCACCCCATCCATCTCGTTTTGCTGACGTCGTCGCGCCCTCCGGAAAAGGGCACACGACGTACGTACCGTCGCGATTTTAAGACACGTTTAAAAAGGGTCTGCTATCATGTCATCGAAACACGAAGTAAAAACGTTCGCACCGATGTATCAAAAGAGAACGAAAATAAGCCGTCGACTTTGTTTCGCGCGTTGTTAGAGCAATTTAGTTATTTTTTTATTTTTTTAAAGCTTCAAGAATTGCGAATCCTAATCTTTGTTTGCTCAGACATCATCAGCTGAATATTGAGAGTTGTTATCGTTCGCGACGTGATGTGATATCCGAGAACCGCGCTCGAGTAGAAAGTAGAACGAAATCGAGTTGACAAAGAAAAAAAAAAGAAGAACCTGCCAATTTCGCGCAAACGGAAATTCCTCCTCGCACTTATCTACCGTAAACTATCTCGCGTTAAGAAAAAGAGATCTGTCTGTAGCACTTTCGGTGTGTACTTTCTATCCACGTATTATTTAATGCGATTTTTCGGCCTTACCCAGCTAAACGATTACGATTTTTCGTAACAGCTATCATCCTTAGGCGGAGGTAACGAGTTTAGTAAACAACTTTTTTATTTTCTTGTCCATTTATCGAGTAAACTAGACCGTAAGACGTTAGAGATAGCCCATTAACTATTAGTAACAATAAACGCGAACAGTCGTTTGACCTTACAGCCAGCCTTTCTAATTAATTCTACTTCCGAGAGGATGTGATTTAATTAATTCCCAGTCTTTCCAGGTCGTCTTATATACGTCTATTTATCTACCTAACCGAGTCCAGATTTTTTTTGTTGCGCCCGTTTTTTTTTCTCTTCACCCCACGCATGCACCCCCGGCACCCACGCAGCATTCGGCCGCACAGAATTCTTACAGGATCGCGCCACCAATTAAGCTCCACACTTACTCCCCCAAATCGTCGATCTTAATTAAACGTTAAACATGCTCGCCTTACTAATCTAAGCTCTTTCTCACACGCGCCTCATTGCCTCGTAGCCTCGAGAAGCTGTCGATATAGTACTTTATCAAGAAAATAGTAAAGCCATGGCTGATGACAATTAATTAATTAATTACAAATAGAAATTAATAACAACAGTAGTTTTCACATCTATCTCTCTCTTTGTCTCTCACTTCCCCCTCCGATCTTTCGTTTTAAGTGGTACTAACGCGTTAATAGTTAATAGTTAATTAGTGATAATTGTAGCAGTACTTTGACACTTCTTTTATCTTTTAATAAGGTTTTGTTTTTCCGCTTTTATCCTAAGCCTAAGTGTCACGGCAATATTTCCAAATCGGGCTGAAGCGCGCGAGTACGCGCGTGCACGCGGCTCGCAAGGAGAAACAGCAGACGCGCGATTGTTATTTTCCATTTTTGTTATCTTTTATTCAGCTCGATAAAGCACGCTGACTACTCGTTTGTATCGTATTATACTTCGCGACGACCCTTCTCCCGGCTGTCCCTCTGTCCAAAGGGGCCACCAGACATGAAAAGGGCTGTCGCTCTCTCGTGTCTCCACGGAGGGCAGTGAGCGTTGGGACGTATTTCATTCACGGCGAAATTATACGTTTAAGACGAAAATAACTGTAGCGTAAGTTGACGAAACGCGAAAATTAAAAGCGATAGCTTCGACTTCACTATCGAGCGCGATCGATTTATCCTCTCGCTTAAGTCCGTTTCGGAAACAAAACCAAAATTCTGAAATGAGCGAAACGTGAACTCAATCTCGATTCAATAACTGCCGCGCCGTAGTCGATAATTGAATCCCAGGATTGGAAATGCGAACGCCGTTTTGACATATAAACCCCAACTTCTCTTGATTGGATAAATTTTTTGGGCGGTTCCTCTGGCGAGCAAAATTTGAATTTGAACACGATGATATAGGATAAGAACGAAAAAATCGGATCTATACGATCCATCTTCAGATCGATCAGATTAAATGCAAAATTTTTCAACGATAAAATTAATAATCTCCATTTTCTTACAAATTTCCACAATTAAATCAATAAATTATCACAATTTTTCAACGTATAACTATTTTCGTTGTTAAAAGAAATGTCGCAGTAATTCAAAATCACGCTGACTTTAATAATTCCACTCGCCAGAGATGCCTGTGATGAATAAAATTGACGAACGGAAAGAAGTTAACTACGGTAATCTGAAAATGCGTTCCAACCACCAACAGCCCATCCTAGATTCGTCTATCAATATTAACACAGTTGCCTCCACGGCTGTTCTCCTACGTTTACGCACACAAGAATAATGTGGGATGGATGAAACATCAAACATTAAATATTACTTGTTAAAATACAAATAGTTATCTAATTAGTACATGCGCATACAGACTCGTAAATACTATTTATACTCGGTGTAATTCGGCTCGGTATATTCGCCGTTGTTTGCTTAGTAAATGATGTAAATGACGAGGCAAACGTCCCTTCCGACGTAAGGGGAGTAAAACGCGATACTTCTAATCGACAAAATTCCCCAAGCGCTCGCTTGGTAAATCTTCATGTGTATGCGCTATCTTAAAAAGCGTCTACGATGTGTAGGTACGTGTGTAAATGTATGCGTGTATATGTTCGATTTCTTGTGTGTCACATTTGCGTCGCGTCCGAATCACAAGCATTAGAGAACTCTCATTATTAAATGCAAAAGGTTCGACATATTAGCGAGCTAAGTGGTCGGCAACTGCATAAGTTTTGCGGCCAAAATTAACAAACAATTGAATACATTTAGAAGGACTAAATTAATTTATTTAAAAATAAATATGACAACAAACAGATATTTCGAAAAATTACATAATACCATTAACTCATACAATTCATGGATTTAAAATCAACGCAAGTGGAGCATTGATTTTATGAATGATTCGCAGGCATAAAAAAAAATTCTCTTATTCAAACAATGAAATTCTCGAGCGTTAGAGAAGTTGAAACTTTTTAATAAAAGAATTGTGTATGCCTACGTAAACATTGATTTGTGCACCATTTTATAGCTTTACTTACATGAACGAATAATTATGTATAATATTTTCATGCTTCTACCCAAAACTTCGTTAAGTCTGTGTCATCTTGTTTGTGTCCATAACTTCGTTATGTATCGTCATGTATCCCTGACTTTGTCCGCAAGTTTGTGGTAACTGGTCAACGCTTGAAGATATCGAGCCGTACGCGTGGCCCATTCTTGTGCAACTATAGGTAATTAAATAAAACAGAAAAAAGAAATTAAAAAAAAAGACGAAATTAAAAATAAATGATGTTACAATCAAAATAAATAAATATATGTAAACAATAGTTGCTTTATATAAAACGCCGCGATTAGCGCTGTTAAAGGTTGCCAACCATCATAGGATAATAGGGGATGCACCTGTTCACACGCATGATCAATGATCGCGATTGGTCATTTAATTAGCCATTAATAGTAATTCCTTAATTAAGTCCATAACGTACTAGTTACTGATTGAACGTACCATCTAACATTAATCATGACGTCTCTATGCGAAAGATAAACTATTGATTCACAGGTCCTCTCCCTTATTAAGCTGCAAAATGCATTATTATTTCGTCGCGCACTTTTTTGACGTACTTATATACCGTAGAATGAAATTTACAAGTATATCGTATCTCTATATCGAGTTAAGTTTGTATAGTAACCAAAGTCTAATTAAATATAAATCCAACAATTATAAAACCCTCGTCGCGCAGTCAGTTCTTTCGATCTCGATTAAGTTAAGTTTACGAATTACAACTAGTTTATGCTGTACGTCGATCTATTGGCAATGTTACGTAAGCAAACATGTGCCAGGCATTTAATTACTTATTTTCATCCAAACGGAATCGAAATATTGTGTTACACGTGATACTCCCACTCGGCCCCGTGATATCTCTAAGAGTTACCGTTAATTAACTATTACTTAAACAAGAAAGTGTTTCTTTTCGGGTCCCAAGTGACTTAGAGATTGGCTTACTTAAGGAGAACGGATTAACTGCGTGTAGTCACTAAGACTTTCCGACTGGTTTCTCTTTTTATTTTATTTTTTTTTTAAAGGAGTTTTACTTTCGAGTTTCGCTTAGAATACACCCTGACAAATCGATTGGGATATACCGATCCCCACGCGGGATCGGTTTACGTGACGCGACCGCAAATGTGACGTGCCAAGTAATACCGTGAGATGTCAAAACAAATGGTGTCCTTGCGACAGATAGAATGGCAATCCCGATTGTTCCTTCCGAGTTTTTTTTTGTTTCTTCATTTGTCGCCGTTCGTTCTGCTATATCCCGAACCACAGTAGTCTCAGTTGCAAGAAATATCTTGAGCGCGCGGATCTGCAGAAACGGACCCAAAAAATTTGCGTAATGAAATGACTGCGTATCTACGTCGAGCTGAACTTATAGCAAAGCCGTTTGTCAGACATTGACGAAGGCAACTGTAAAAGTGACCTAACTTCACTGAATCGGATTGCTATGCTTAGAAAAGGCGACATTTAAGATTCAACTTCTTTGAAAAGAAAAAAAAATAGATGATTCTTCGTAACGAATATTTCTCTGCGTATGTACTTTATCCTACACGTGTTTCCACCAAAGTGGGCTCCCTACGCGATATACAACACACGCATCTATTTTGTATTCTTCACAATTAAACGAGAATAACCGCCTACGATTAAGCAAGTTGAAAGCTTCAGTCTCGATTTGTGCATGCTATCGTCGATCCGAAATCGATCGAATAACATCGTCGAATAGAATCTAAGCCTTATTTCTACAATACGGTTGACGAAAAATATCCTTGCAACCAACATTACTCCGTCAGCGGCGTCGATAACGCGCCTATTTTCCCATCAAACGAGAAAGAAAAAAAAAAGGTAGTGTATGTAGTCTGGGGTGTAGTGGTTGTATTTATTCAGATTTATATGTATATATATATGTACGCACGTGTATGTGCAACATATATATATAAATATGTATATATATATATATATATACGTATATGTCGAATATACGCGTGCACGAATGACCGTGCATACAATGTACATACCTTTAAAAAAATACTTATGATCCCTATAACGATATACGCATATATTTTTAAAGGTATACATTTACACGAGCAGACATACGAGTGCGTGTACATACACATATGTCAAAATGAATATTATAGTTACATGATAGAAGTAGTGTGTAAACAGTGTTCTTTCAACATATGCTTTATGTTGGTTAATCAATAATCATTAATCATTATCATTAATACAGGGGCTACAAAAAAAATTATGCTCTCAAACATCGTTTACCTGCTTTCTTTTTAAGCTTAACTCGTTTTCACGCCTCTCGCTCTCTCTTTCTCTCTCTCTCTCTTTCTCACTTTCTTTCTTTCTCTCTCTCTCTTTCTCTCTTTCTCGCATTCTCCTATCTCTCTCCAAAAGAAAACCTCCTACACCCTTCCTTTCTCTCTTTTTATCCTATCCTGTTTTTCAATTCTATGTCATATCTTTTGGCTTTTTCTTGCGAGAAAAAAATTCAAACAGAGATTATGCGCCTTGGCCTGGAACGTACACCTCTGTGCTGTCCAAAAGATGTTCGACTTCAAATCTCATGATTGCTTTTTTATTTAATCTTTACTTTCCTTTTTTTTTTCTACTTCACCATTTTCATCTACAGAGTTGCCTTATATAAAAACCATTGTTTTTTTCAAAATTCTTATATTAAATAAAAATTTAATATAAGATATATTAAAAATTATTATATATATTAAAAGTTCTTATTTATTATAAAGAAACGCTTTAATAAATTTCTAAAAACAGGAGAAATATTTAATATAATCATTAAAGCTTAGAGAATACTGAAATATTTTTTATTAAAAAATTGTTGCTGAAAAAAAAAAACTAAAGAACACTATATAAACGAGTAATGATTTCTTCATAAATAATTATCAAAAAGCGTAAAAAAAAATAACAAAAAACTTCAATAACAATACTTATGTACATGAACTTCATGTATAAAAAGTTTTAAGTGTTTGGAATATCATAATGCTGAAACAATTAAAATATTTTCTTCTTTCAGAACAATAATTACTTATGTACCTTATTTATGTATTGTATTTACATTTTATATTTTATAGCGTATTCTTTTTTAATAAATATCTTTAATATAATTTATATTTCAATAACTTTAAAGAATATAAATTGTATATTTTTAAACAACATGTCCTTTTAAACAATAATTTTAATCCTAAGATAATCGCAACTCTATGATTACAGTTTGGTGATATTTTCAATATAATTTACTCTCACTTGATTTTATATTATTTTAAAAAAAAGCTTACAACGGCATACGATAAAAAGTAATTCACCTGGGCCACAAGTTCTTATCTGTCTCCTCTTGTCTTACAATAAATGTTCAATGTGTAATATATAGATATGAATCTATGTTGTCAGTTTTACATCATCCATTTGATGGTGAGAGATGGCCATCACCGAAAGGGACCAATTCATTGAATGTTTATTGTAAGATGAAAGCTTGTCGAAATGGCAATCTGTCTGCAACGCAGTGGACCAGATTGAAAATGATCCGATACTGCGAGCAGAGTGAACTGACAGATAAAATTAAACGGAACGTTTTCGCTGAGGCATGTTCGTCGCAGGCGTAGAACCTTTTAATGTGAAAAATGTCCTTAGAAGCTTATTGCTTCTCCTCCGATCCGGAATTCGATTCAGATATATCGAGTTTCTATCGTTTTATTGTAATGGACACCTTCGTATGGATCGAACACAATCGAGCGAAATAATATTTCGTCGCGTTATCAAAGTGATGAAAGTCGAACATCCTCCTTCAGCACAAGGAGACATTAAATTCGGGGCACTGGGAGTAAGACGGATGGAAAGCGCGCGAGCATAAAGATCATTTAACAAATATTATCCTTATTATTTGAGACGGGCATTACGCGCCCGTCACTTTTTATTTTCAGAAAATCGCATATCGCATATGCAAATAGCCAAATGCGCATGCGGCACACTCGTGATACTACTAAACTTACTACCATAGATTTTTTTTCTCATTTAATCTATTTTTATTCTATTCATGATTAGCTCGTAAGGGGATACGACCTTACCAATACAATGCTAAAAGTTTACAAGTATACAGGTCATGTTATTACAGTTAATAATTTCATTTATTATCGTTACAATCATTACCAACTTTACGTCTATTACCTTATTACTTCACACTAAAATATGATAAAAGTAGATCAATCGATTCTCTCATCGTACCGTGTGCGAGATATTATTTTAAAGCATCCCAACAGCTGTAGGAATTCCATTCTACTAAAATCGAAATAACCATTCGACCGTTCTCGAGCGAAATAAATGATATAGCGGCAATATTCCCCCTTCCCTTTTTATGTCAAAAAAATTAAAAACGCTCCTTTTGCATATATCATTTTATCTTTTATTTTTTATTTATATTTTTTTTTGTATTAGTGGCTCTCAAAGCAATCTAATAAGATCTGAGAATCTTAGTCTCTCGATCACGTGCCTCGAGATTCGATGATCAAAATAATTATACGTTTTATAGGACTTTATTTATTCGTTTCATCTTCTAGCTAACTTGTCCAATTCGCTAATGCACTCGTGGTTTTTTTTTTGTTAAAAATCGCTGATCACTCTCCCGATACACTCATTTCTTCTCAGTACTGTGTATTTTCGGATCATTGGTTTGTGTGCGTGTGTGTGTAAGAATTGTAAGAATATCTGTCTGCGTGTGATTTATCCCGCTAAAGCGGTCTCGATTCCACCTTCTCATTCTCTCCTCTCGTAACGATTGAAACATCAGCCCGCTGCACGAACCTTAACATAAACATATTTTAGAATTTCCCTTATATAAAACTCACTTGTTTTTTTTTTAAATCCCTACATTGTTTTCGCATTTACTATATACGTTTAAGACAATAATTACCTTGTCCTATCAGACTCGCAGGAGAGGAAAATCACTTTGTAATTATAATTTAATGCCTTAACTGCTTCTATGTAAACGTAATTTAGAATATATCTCGTGTGTGTACAACACATTTGTCTCTTATATTAATCAGCTTTGTCTCATTTGAAATTATTTATTTATTTTTTTTACTGCCTTATACTCGCGCCCACACGCGGGTGTGAGCGATTATCACACTACCTGAGTACAATATATACCGGCGGCCTCTTCTT